AGCTCCTTAAATGAGCTACAAAAGCTCTTCATAGCCTACTACCTTTCCAAAATTACTTGCCCCATTTTCACTGTCCCACACTCATCCTACTAATAGTAAAACTGGTATGGCTTCTGATAGTCAGCATGTAGTTATAAATCTCCATCCTTTGTTCATGAGACTTCTTCTGCCTGAAATGCCCTTGACTTCATGTCTCATTAGGTTAACTCTGATTGAATATTCTGTTTAAGGCATTTCTCCTCCAGCAAGGCTTCCCTGACCTCAATCTTTGCTCCCTGTCCTCATCCCTCAGGCTGGGAAAATTATTCTACACTCACTCTGTGAATGCCTCTGGCACTGAGTTTACTACCCTATGTTGATTTTTTTTTCATGTCAGTCTTCCTATTGGGTAGGGGCCACATGCCCAGTAACTACAGATTACTAGCACTCAAAATAAGTTTGTATTTTCTATTCCTTCAAATCATTCATTCATCCTTTAACTTATCCATTAATTCAGTTATCACTTACTGATGAATTTCACGAGGATGTCCCATCTCACTCACCCAATTTCATTTTGCTGAGTAATATCCTGATTTCCCAGATGTGTTTAGCCTGCGTGGAAACCAATCATTTTCCCTCTTCTCTACATATTCCAAAGCATGTGAAGAACATTTGTTAACTATTTCCAAATTGTGATTTGTTTTTAAACTACCCACTTGAATCATTTTTATATGCTTCTTGTTCTAGTGACAGAACTGACTGATTACTCTGCGTCTTTTTATGGGTATAGACTGCCATAAGTAATGCAGTGTAACAGCCTACTATTCTGTATCTGAGACTGTGCGCCCTCCTTCCTGGCTTCCACCTGCAGGGAATTCAAATCTCAATATAGTCATTAGAATTAAATACATGTTGATAAATAACAACAGGGAAGTAACATCAGTTTATTATTTTACAGCAGGTCTTTGAAGCCACTCAGACTGCCTTTTCTTGTTTTGAAGTCTGGCTTTAGATGCATGGGCACTGATTTTTTTTTTTATTCAGGTTCATAGAGGATAAAGTTTAAGAGCTTTCATATAAACCTTATATTTTCCAAATAAAATCTCAGAAAAGAATGGGGAAACTTAGGGAATGGGTGGTGGCCAGTCTGTGGAAGTCAAAGACAGGGCAAACCAGCTTGTCCAGAAGCACTGGGCTTGGGAGCTGGAGAGTAATGAAAATGACAGGCTCTCAGAGCTTCTTCCTCATCCTACTGATGAGGAGAAAGAATGGCCAAGAGTGACTGAGAGTAGGGAGGAGCCAGGAAGGCATGGCCATGAAAAAATGAGGAACAAAGGCCTCTATTCAGCTATGATTCTCCTACTACAAAAGACCCACTCCTCGAGGAAAAAATCTGCATAAACTATATCATGAAGAAAACTTTTAAATAATAATGAAAATAAGCTAATTGGTTAATTTTTTACTCCAGTAACCAGATTAATGTGTGTGTGTGTGTGTTAGTCACTCAATCGTGTCTGACTCTTTGCCACGCCATGCACTGTAGCAAACCAGGCTCCTCTGGCCATGGGATTCTCCAGGCAAGAATACTTGAGTGGGTTGCCATTTCCTTCTCCAGGGGATCTTCCTGACCCAGGGATCAAACCCAGGTCTCCTGCATTGCAGGCAGATTGTTTACTATCTAAGCCACCAAAGAAGATTAATACATATTCTTCCTTAAAAACTTTTGGAAATATGCTATGTGTGTGCTCTCACCCTTCTGTAGGGGATCAAAATATCTTAACCACCAGCCCAGAATGAACATGCCCCCCAGAATGTATGCCTGCTGTTAACACCAGTAAGGCCATCCTGTAGCATGAAGCAGAATAGAAGCCCCAAACATACATACAATTATACAAATAACAGGTATCTCTTTCCTCCTCTGCAAAGTTCCACGTTGGATTCTAGTTCTTTTTCAAGCAGTGAGAGTGACTTGTCATGAAAATTTGAAAGGAAAATCTGAAGTCTGTCTCATGCATGTTGACTTTTTGTCTGAAGATTAAAATAAAAATGGCATAAGAGTTTTTTTCCTTCATTTTCATCATTCTATCTGTCCTCCTCTCTGTTCCCGGGCCCTGAAAACCAGCCACTCCCCCACCAAACTCAGTCCTGCACCCTAAACAATTTCATTTTGCTGAGTAATATCCTGATTTCCCAGATGTGTTTAGCCTGCGTGGAAACCAATCATTTTCCCTCTTCTCTACATATTCCAAAGCATGTGAAGAACATTTGTTAACTATTTCCAAATTGTGATTTGTTTTTAAACTACCCACTTGAATCATTTTTATATGCTTCTTGTTCTAGTGACAGAGCTGACTGATTACTCTGCGTCTTTTTATGGGTATAGACTGCCATAAGTAATGCAGTGTAACAGCCTACTATTCTGTATCTGAGACTGTGCGCCCTCCTTCCTGGCTTCCACCTGCAGGGAATTCAAATCTCAATATAGTCATTAGAATTAGATACATGTTGATAAATAACAACAGGGAAGTAACATCAGTTTATTATTTTACAGCAGGTCTTTGAAGCCACTCAGACTGCCTTTTCTTGTTTTGAAGTCTGGCTTTAGATGCATGGGCACTGATTTTTTTTTTTATTCAGGTTCATAGAGGATAAAGTTTAAGAGCTTTCATATAAACCTTATATTTTCCAAATAAAATCTCAGAAAAGAATGGGGAAACTTAGGGAATGGGTGGTGGCCAGTCTGTGGAAGTCAAAGACAGGGCAAACCAGCTTGTCCAGAAGCACTGGGCTTGGGAGCTGGAGAGTAATGAAAATGACAGGCTCTCAGAGCTTCTTCCTCATCCTACTGATGAGGAGAAAGAATGGCCAAGAGTGACTGAGAGTAGGGAGGAGCCAGGAAGGCATGGCCATGAAAAAATGAGGAACAAAGGCCTCTATTCAGCTATGATTCTCCTACTACAAAAGACCCACTCCTCGAGGAAAAAATCTGCATAAACTATATCATGAAGAAAACTTTTAAATAATAATGAAAATAAGCTAATTGGTTAATTTTTTACTCCAGTAACCAGATTAATGTGTGTGTGTGTGTGTTAGTCACTCAATCGTGTCTGACTCTTTGCCACGCCATGCACTGTAGCAAACCAGGCTCCTCTGGCCATGGGATTCTCCAGGCAAGAATACTTGAGTGGGTTGCCATTTCCTTCTCCAGGGGATCTTCCTGACCCAGGGATCAAACCCAGGTCTCCTGCATTGCAGGCAGATTGTTTACTATCTAAGCCACCAAAGAAGATTAATACATATTCTTCCTTAAAAACTTTTGGAAATATGCTATGTGTGTGCTCTCACCCTTCTGTAGGGGATCAAAATATCTTAACCACCAGCCCAGAATGAACATGCCCCCCAGAATGTATGCCTGCTGTTAACACCAGTAAGGCCATCCTGTAGCATGAAGCAGAATAGAAGCCCCAAACATACATACAATTATACAAATAACATATCTCTTTCCTCCTCTGCAAAGTTCCACGTTGGATTCTAGTTCTTTTTCAAGCAGTGAGAGTGACTTGTCATGAAAATTTGAAAGGAAAATCTGAAGTCTGTCTCATGCATGTTGACTTTTTGTCTGAAGATTAAAATAAAAATGGCATAAGAGTTTTTTTCCTTCATTTTCATCATTCTATCTGTCCTCCTCTCTGTTCCCGGGCCCTGAAAACCAGCCACTCCCCCACCAAACTCAGTCCTGCACCCTAAGATCCAAAGCTCCCTTCTCAAAACAGAAACTGGAGAAGATTCCCATGGTTCCTTGGTCTCCCGCCTTCCCACAATCCCTGCCTTCCTGCCATATTTCTCATATCTCTCTCCCACCAGCCAGCACCTCCAGCAATTTTTCACTTCTTTTCTGCCTTCTCCTTCAGACCTAGTTTCAAATTCAACCCTCCACTAAGAAGCTATTTACATTATTCACTCCTTTGCCATTCTGTCTTATAGGAATTCTTTGGAGAAGAACAGCAATTTTGGATGTTCTGATGCCCATGTCATAAAGCTAAAGCTCCCCACACCATTTTTAAATGGGAATATTTGTTAAATACTTCAAGTCAGTCATTCTCTACCTACTTATGTCATCTCATTTAACCATAACAGTGTAGTTACACATTATATCCACTTTTCAAGGAACTAGGAATTAGACAGAATAAGGAAGTTGTAGAGCTCACACAGCTAGTAAGCCATGAAATCAGGTTTTGAACTAGGAGACAGTGACTCCAATCTGTTTTGTTTTGTTTTTTTAATCATTGAAAAATTTTACAGATAGTAATAAAATTATCCAAACTTTTGGAGTCTGGCCTTGATCTGACTGACATTTTTGTAAACTTGCTCAAATGTTTACCATACAAGAAAAGAAGGCTGGGTCACCACTGGACGTCTCCACCAATCTCAAGTGAACAGAGCTCTAAGCAACCCTATGCTTAAGAATGTTAACGAGAATAAATTCTGTCTATTACTACTGAGGGAAAGTAAAACATTAAGTTGATAGTTTCCTGATATATGTTGCCATTTACTTGAATTAATGCTCCATTAGGTATTAGGGGCTATAGAAAGATCAGTGATGATCAGCTGGGGATTAGCAAAGGAAACAAAACTAACCCTAACCCTAACCCTAAACCCTAACCCTAACCCTAAAAAAAAAGATTAAAAAAAAAAGAAAACCTTCCACACTGGATGGTGGAAGCATTATCTAAACAACTGAGGGCATTGCTTTCTTTCTTCAGACTTAGAAAAAAAGAGAAAGCATTGACAGCTAGACACACACCCCAAGTAAAGATGGGAGACTTGTTTCTGCTCAGGGTTGGGTGTGGGAATGTGTTGCGATGCAGCGGTCCCATGCTGGGGTCCAAACGCACTCAGGCAGGTTTGGAGGGCCCCTCTCGACCTCTCTGCCTTGGGAAGGCCTGAGCAGAGACTTATTCTTTAGGGCTGTACTGACTGACTGTGAACTTCATGTAAAACTGTATTATTTTCAACCTCAGAAATATTTACCAAAAAATCAGGGACCACGACCTCCTGGACAAAAGGAAAACTGTCACAGCACTGAAAGCAGGAGAGGACCGGGCCATTCTCCTGGGACTGGCCATGATGGTGTGCTCCATTATGATGTACTTTCTGCTGGGGATCACACTCCTGCGCTCATACATGCAGAGGTAACACCCCTGGGTGCTTGGGATGCTGTCTTTCGTCTTCCTTCTCCATCCTCCCACACAGCTTAGCAATTCCGAGGTCCTCTTTTTTACCGTCTTTGCTATGAAGCACTTAGAGCAGTGCCTGGCACATACTACTGTCAATGATGCTATCTAATAATGATGATAAAAATAGCTCTATGTGTAAACCACCTACTATGTGCCAGGGACTTGCTGTACATTACTTTTTTAATTTTCACAACTGTTCTATAAGGTAAGTATATATATTCTCATAAAATTAGCAACATTGAGGTTCAAGAAAGATCTAATATGCAGTGTCATTATTGTTGTTCAATCACTAAGTCATGTCCAGTTCTTGCAATCCCATGGACTGGAGCCGGCCAGGTTCCTCTGTCCATGGGATTTCTCAGGCTAGAATACTGGAGTGGATGGTCCTTTCCTTCTCCAGAGGATAATCCTGACCCAGAGATCAAACCCGTGTCTCTAGCATTAGCAGGCGGATTCTTTACTTGTGAGCCAGCTTTAGTATTTGGCAGGAAGAGCCAAGATTCAAATCTATATCCTGTTAATTTCAGAATCCCTGCTCTTGGCTCTTAACACTTCTGTCCATTCTCCACCTGCGTTCCTTTTCCTCCACAGCCCTCTCTTCCATCACACCACACACTAGCAGTTCTCAGCTGCACATTTCAACTTCTTGAAAATCTTTTAAAAATACTGACACCCAGGGCCCACCACCATCATTCCATAATGTCAGATTTAATTGGTCTGGAGTGGAACCCAGTCACCTGTAACATTTAAAGTTCCCCAGCTGATTCTAACAGGCTGAAAAACACTGCTATGCACTTTTTAAAAATTAATTATTTAGTTTTAATTGGAGGATAGTTGCTTTACAATATTGTGTTGGTTTCTGCCATATATTATCATGAGTCAGTCATAGGTATACGTATGTTCCCTCCCTCTTAAATCTCCCTCCTACCTCCTACCCCACCCCACCCCTCTACATTATCACAAGGAGCTCAAATCTGGTGCTCTTTGCACTTTCTAAAATAACAGGTTTTGAACTTTTCTTATTTAAGTATTTGCCCTGGGTTTACCACATAGATACAGAGACAAACACTGAGTTGGCAAGTGTGTTCCCCTTTATTAAGTCACGACACTCCCCAGCATTTCTAGCTGTTGTCCATATTGGACACTCTGAGCATGGGAAAGCCCAGCATTGCTTTCACTAATCAAGAAAGTCTCATGATGCTTCAGTTTAAAGAAATGAGGCCCTTTCAAATGAAAAACTGAGGTTTCAATCCAAAAGAGAATCAAACCATTTTGTGGCATTCATTTCCCCACTTAAATTAATACTTTCATTTTAGAAGCAAAATCTAGTTGAAACACAGTAATTTGCTAAAATTAAGGCATCATCTTTCCCACTTATGGCCGCTCTACTCTGCTTACCCTATGCTTTCTACTCCTCAGTGAAAGCGCGGATGCCTCAGGCCGCAGAGTCCACTGATTCCGAAACCACTTTCCAATACTTACAAATGCCTAGCATCATCTAAGACTTTTTTTTCTTCCTTGTATAAGCAAAATCTGACCACTCAAGCCCCCAGAAAATTTGTCACACCAGAGGGAGTCAGGGCTTGAATCCTGGCTCTGTACAAAATTGGACATGAAAAGGGGGGCCCTATTAACACACATCCAGCAAAAGAAGAGCTATTAATCTGCAAAGAAACGTGCCATTTTCTAATCACTCTAGTAATCAGTTTATATCCAGAAGTGAAACATCAACTCTGGGTACAATACTTCCTAATCACAAATATTACTCTTGATCATAAAATTATAAATATTTTATAATGAAAAGTTGACCAACGGGCAGCTCGAGGGGTTTTCTTTGTTTGTTTGTTTAATCTTTCTAACTGAGAGGTCTCAGGACATGGATAGGAATCTGTTAATCTCATATAATAGCCTCTTTTCCATTGTGGGGAAGCAGTGCAGTACCCCACAATGAGCCTGGGCTTTAGAGAAATACAAGACTGGGTGGAGTCACAATTTCCACCACCTACTAGCTGTGTGTCTTTGCATGCATTTGACTTCTCTGACCGTCAATTCACTCACCTTTAAAAGAATTTCATATCCAACATATAAAACAAAAAAAGACAATGTATGTAAAGTATCAATTAGGATGAAAAGGGTACAATAACTGATGGCTCTTGGTATAATCAAAAGATGAAGTTACCTTTTCTCCATTTTTAGGAAGACCTTAAAGAAATGCATCATTGTCCTTTCACCTATCACACCAGACCTTAAGCCCCTCCACTCTTTCATCATCTCTCCTCCCCTTCTCTGCCTGCAAAGTAGGCAGACATTGTGAGGTGAGGACCAGGTTACAACATAGAAATGCAGGGTGGATACAGGCTCTGATATAAAAAGATGCTGCCTTACCCTTACTGGTGAATTTTATAAGGAAAAAAAATCTAATTTAAATCAAGCATTGGAAAAGATGATACTATATTTGATAGAAATCATTGGAAAAGTTCTCAGATGCCAGGCAAAGTTTATCTTATGTTTATATAGCTTGTGGCTTAGCTGGTAAAGAATCTGCCTGCAATGTGGGAGACCTGGGTTCGATCCCTGGGTTGGGAAGGTCCCCTGGAGAAGGAAAAGGCTACCCACTCCAGATTCTGACCTGGACAATTCTATGGACTGGGTCGCAAAGAGTTGGACATGACTGAGCAACTTTCACTTTGACAAAGCTGCTCTATGCAAAGGCATACACGTTACAAGTAGGTTGTATTACAGACTTGGGAGATTCTTCAGGTCAAGGAACTGACAAATGATCTCCTCTGCTTCCAGCTTCTGTGTCCTTGGCATCTGTGCTTACTCTTCTCCTCTCTATGTAGTGTATGGACCGAGGAGGCTCAGTGCACCTTGCTGAATGCGTCCATCACAGAAACATTTAACTGCTCCTTCAGCTGTGGTCCGGACTGCTGGAAACTCTCTCAGTACCCCTGCCTACAGGTGTATGTTAACCTGACTTCTTCCGGTGAAAAGCTCCTTCTCTACCACACAGAAGAGACAATAAAAATCAATCAGAAGGTAGGAGCTTGGCACACACTGCATCTCATTCACCCTCATGTAGCTCCACACCAATCCATCTCTGTCTGTAGTTCCTCTGTGCCAGCATTTCAAAGCAAACATGCCACTACAAAGTAGACCCTGCCTCATCCAGTCACAGAGTTCATTGCACTTCTTGACTCTTGCTTGAGAAACATTTATTTTCTGTGCAAGTCGTGGTCAAATCAGTCCCCATTTTGTAGCACTTAAGATTTAGCCTTTACTTCCATTTAGAGGGGTAAATATCATATCCTTATTGATACACAAATAGATTAAATTTTTCAAAGCAAATGTGCAGCTTAATCTGAGTTATATAAGCAAAAAAAAAAAAAACCCAACAGGTATTTGTCATATACCTGGGAACCATGGGGTTAAACTGTATTTTGCCTTTCCAAGGTCATTGTCACTTAGTTCTATGGTCTTGGAGATATAACCTAACCTCTCTGAGCCCCAGTATCTTCTTCTCTAAAAAGGTAATAACAATGATCATCTTGCAAGGTCATTGTGAGAATGAGAACAGAGTACAGAGCGTGCCCAGCAAAGCTCAGGCAAGACCTTCAACCCATGGTCACAATATGTGTGCCTGTGCCTATTTCTTCATAAACGTTAGGTTCATCATGGTTGAATTTTCCAGCACTAATATATTCAAGTGCACCTGTTAAATGTTTAGTATCACTGTATTAAAGCTGCAAATAAAATTTGCATTTAAAAGGTCTGGGATAACCAATAAAGTGTCAGCAGAATCAACCTGCCATTATGAATTTTAAGTTAAATACATTGCATTTTCGATTTATGGCAGCAATTTAGATGGCGAGAGGACTTTCATATGCCAAGACAACCTGACGCCATTCTCTAATAGGACAATTGACTCGCGTCACCAGGATACCACTCTCATGACTCTAGTCCTTCTTGTAAAAACTCTACAATTATCAGCAGTTAAATGATACAGATTATATGTCTTGAAAAAACTCAATAGCTGTGGAGCTTGATACTAGAACATAGGATTTGCTTTCTGATATATTAACACAAATAAGGAAACCCTTGCCTTTTGGTTACATTAACTTAACTTAATATCTCTGCAAGAATTTGCAAGAATTAAAATATTCTTGCAAATATCTCTGAAGACACAAGGTCTGCTCTGATTTCCTTTCATTTGTGGAAAAGAACACACAAACAATACCAATCTTAATCCTATTCTACAAATATACATAGCTAGTTCTCCCACAAAATGTGTGGTTTTCAAGATCCCTAAAGTCAAGTTTTTAAATCAAAACTGACCTGTAATTATGGATACTTATAAAACTCTCAAATCTCCAAGAAATTGAAAATTGGCCAAAATTGAATAGACATGAAAAACTGAGACATATTTCCATTTTCTTGTCTTGATGTTTTATTAGTACAGCCCTGTGAATGCAATATGTAAGCTATAAACTGGGAGTGAAACTTATAGAAAATCTCCGTTAAGATTTTAGAACCAGTATTTTGTCTGCTGTCAGCATGATACTAGGTCATTGTTTAGTTTATTTACCTTGTTTTTAACTGTGAGACATGCAAAAAATGAAAAAGTGCAGCTTAAGCACCTAAAGAGATCCTTTACATAATTACTATGAAAGCAAAGAAACAAAACATGCCCTGCACTGCAGGAAATCAGAACCTTGAAGTTCTGATGACTAATGCTATCAAGTAGCTTTTCATTCATTTATTGGCATTTTGAATATCTTTTTTTGTATAGTGTCTGTTCAAGTCTTTTGTTTTCTATTGAATTGACTCCATTGGATTGTTTCTTCTTAATATTTATTATAGGAATTCTTTAAATTTAGATGCAAACCTTCCTTGATTGTTGTGTTGCAAATATCTTCTCTGGATGTGAAATGTCATCTTTTCACTCTCTTAATGATGTATTTGAATGAAAGAAGTTTCTAGTTTTAGTGCAACCAAATCTTGTCCTTGTCAATATTTATTTTTCTTTTCTTTTTTCCTTTCTTTCTTCTTTCTCTTTCTCTTTCTTTCTTTTTCTTTCTTTTTTCAATTGTTTGATTGTCCTGCTGTCTATTTTAAAAGTCTTTACTTATCCAGAAGTCATGAAGCCAATTCTCCCAAATTATCATCTAGAAATGTTTTTTCTTTCACATTTTGAGAACAATCTGCCTGGAATTGATTTTCATGCAAGAGTCAAGTTTCTAGATTTTCTTTTTATTCATATGGACAATCATTTGCCCAAGTCCATTTATGAAAAGACCACCCTTTCCTCACTGGATTATTTTTGTGATTCCATTTTCCCCTCTATTTCTTAGAAGTTATCTGTTCTGTTACTCTTCTTTTAGTGTTTAACTAGTCATTACAACTTGAAATATTGACTAATCAAGGATATTAAAACATTTTATCTTCATTTGTTCTCTTCTCAGGTTACATATTATCATTTTTATTCTACATGTACTTTAAGCCCATGTAGACATTATATTGCTTTTGTGTATAGTAGTTATTTATTTAGATGTGTCCCCATCATTTTCCATCTCCTTATTCTTCATTCCTTCTTTTGTCTTTGGTCTTCTATCTGGATCATTTTTTTCTACTTCCTGAAGAACATTCTTTAATATTTAGTACAATATCTTCTCTAAAGAAATCTCTGAAAGTATTCATTTTTCTGAAAATATTTTCTTTTCATTCTCAAAGTATCTACTCATTGAGTATATAATTCTGAGTTGGCTGTTTTTTTTTTTGTTTGTTTGTTTCTGTACATTGAAAACACTCCATTGTCTTCTGGTAAGAATTATAACTATTTGGAAATCAGCTCTCAGTCTAATTGCTACTTCTTTGAAGGTAATCTTGGTCTGCTTTAAAGATTATTTTCTTTAATTCTTCACAGTTGAACTACTATTATGTGCCAAAGTGAACATTTATTTCTATCTTGCCTGCTTAGTGTTCCAAGGGCCTCTCCTGCTATTCCTTGAGGTTCTTTGACAATTTTAGGGGGTCTTCAGTCATTATTTCATCAAATATTTCCTCTGCTCTCATTCTTTCCTGCTTCTCCTTTTTAGACTCCAATGGACCATGTTAGGCGTTCTCATTGTATCCCCTGTGTATCCCCCTCTTTAGTATTTTCCCTCCTTTTGTCTCTCTGTGCTTCTTGCTAGATATTGACCTAACTTCTGATTTGCAATTCTTTCCTCAGCTCTGACAAATCTGTCATTAAACCCACAATCCATTGAGCTCTTAATTCCTCTTACTGTATTTTTCATTTCTAGAATACCCATTCCAATCTTATTTTATACTTTCTAGTTTTCTGCAATATTCTAATTTTTGTCTTTTAAATTCTTCAACATAAAAAGTAAAATTGTAGTTATTTTAAAGTTTATTTTGATGACTTCAAAAAATCTGAAGACCCTATGGGCCTCTTCTATTTTTTGTTTCTTGACTGTTTTCATGCTGCATTGTAATGTCTGGCTATTTTTTATTAGATGTCAGACATCATATCTAGAAAAATAGTTATAAAAACAATTTTAAGCCTAGTTTGATGTCACAATGTCATCTTTTCTAAAACTTATTTCCATTTGCTTCTGCAAGGCCCCTAGGTACAAATCATGATCACCTCATTCTGACTACATAAACTGAAGTTTGAGCTGAAGTCCCTGTGAGGACCTATCTTCTTCAGGTTGACCATCACTCCTAGGATGCAGCCTTGAAGTGTCCTGACCCAAAGTGAATATGGGCCCATGTTTGATAGGCTGTAATGATAATTCCTGCCCCTAGCTCTACAAGGCTATCAAAAATTCCATCCAGCCTTCTGGGATCTCAGCCCCTTTTAGAATCAACAGACACTCCAAGGGGAAAGGTAACACCAAACAGTAGGCTCACCTTCTTGGCCCAGTGATTCTTCACCCTTTGGTTAGCTGTCCTCTGCCTTTAATTAGAAGCATAGTACATGCATTGAAAATACAGTTATTACCATGTCAAAAGGTCACTAAACCATGATCTTAAGGTAGCATGAGAAACATACAAAATATTCCTGGGGAGAAAATTAAAATATTCTCTATCTTCACCTCTCCTTCCTATAACTATTCCCCAAGCTCACCAAAATTAGTAACCTTTCCTGTAGTTACCAACGAATGGGCATGGTTTTACTGATACATAAGGCACACTACTGAAAATGTTTGATTTGAGACAACAGGAGGCAAAAAGATGTCAGTCAAGCTTTCTGCTTCTTTATAGAATGAGATTCAAAAGGATTTTATTTTTAAATTTTCACACTCTCTCATATATTCTTTTTCTTTAGCTTTTAAACCCAGTGACCAACCTCTTGTCACTAGTACAACTGAAGCTGCTTAAGCTGATAAGCTGGCATGCTCTGGTGGAGCAACTGACTGACTAACAATCTCTAGGAGCCACAAGTAGGTTCAAGGGCCCCTGCCTCTCCTGGCAACAAGGTTGTCACTGGGATCATAAACAGTGGCTGAGTATTGCTTCACTGTGGTCGTTAAACTTCTCAGTGCTGATCTCCTTTAAGAGGTTAAAACTTTGTTTACTTTACCAGGGATCCCCCAAAGTCCCCATCTGGTTTAAGAGACTATTTCAAATGAATTTTTGTATAAAACAAGAAAATATATCCACTTTTGATATGTAGTTTAATACTATATGGGCTTCCCAGGTGGCACTAGTTGTAAAGAGTCCACCTGCCAGTGCAGGAGACGTTAAGAGATGGGGATTCTATCCCTGGGTCAGGAAGATCCCATGGAGAAGGAAATGGCAACCCACTCCAGTATTCTTGCCTGGGAAATCCCATGGACAGAGGAGCCTGGCCTGGAGGGCTACTTTAGGGTCCATAGGGTCGCAAAGAGTCAGACATGACAGAAGCAACTTAGCACACACACAAGCACAATACCATATTTTATACATATATATATATGTATATAATATAATTATAATAAGGAAGCCAGCTATTCTGAGTGGAGAATAACTTGTATGAATTAGCCAATTATTTAAAG